AATCAACACATAAATGCACATATCAGAACAACATCTATTGGATGCTGGGGAAGGGGGAGGGTGGCGGGAGGAGGGGGGAGGAGGGAGGAGGGGACGGGTATTTGTATACACAAGGAGTGCAATGTGCACTACCCAAAGGACAGGCATATTTGAAACACAGACTTGAGGGGCGGGAACCAAGGGCAACACACGTAACCTAAACATCTGTACCCCATAATATGCTGAAATAAAAAAAAAAAAGACTTATAAATAAATAGGTCTATTTACTCAGATACTTGAATAAATGTATATATACTGTGAAAAAAAAAAAATTCTTTCCCTAGGCCAATGTCTATAAGAGTTTTTCCAACATTTTCTTCTAGAATTCTTATAGTTTCATGTCTTAGGTTTAAGTCTGTTATCCACCATGAGTTGCTTTTTGTGAGAGGTAAGAGGTGCAGATCCTGTTTCATTCAGTCTTCTACATGAGGCTATCCAATTTTCCCAGCACCATTTATGAATAAGGATTCTTTTCCCCATTGTATGTTTTTGTCTGCTTTGTCAAAGATTAGATGACTATATGAGGATGGTTTTATATCTGGGTTCTCAGTTCTATTCCATTGGTCTACGTCTCTGTTCTTGTGCATATCAGGTATATTTGTTTTTAATCTTAAAATGAGATTTAATTTAATTAAAATTAAAATTGCTTTACCAAAATCCAAATGCTTATAACAACCGACATTTCCCAAGTCGATGAATGAGAATGCCTTTGTCCCCTGTCTTCACCAGCAATAGGAGTTACAGATCTTTTCTACTGTGCCAGTGATATTACATTGTTAATTTAATATGCATGTCTATGAATATTCAGAATTCAAGCAACTTTTCATATGTTTCTCAGCCACCTGGATTTGCTCTCTTGTGAATTGTTTATGCCTATCATGTGCCCATTTTTCTATTAGGTTATTGTCAATTTGCAAGACTCTTTGGTATATTTATTTACCCTTCTTAACATTTGGAGACATCTTTTCCAAATCCATACATTTTCCACTATCTTTGTTATGATCCCTTTTGTTACACATAGGTTTCTTGTTTCTAAGAGTTCAATCTTGGTTTGAAAGGTTTCCCCCAAACTGCACATGTCATCTGCTGAGATATTTTTTCCTAAAGTTTTTTGCTTTATTTTATATTTAAGTCTTTAATACATGTGGACTTTTTGTATATAGCACAAATAGGGATGAAACTCTATTTTCCTTCAGATGAATACCCAGGTGTTTCACCACCATTTATCAAAAATGTTCATTCTCTTTCCACTGAATGGGAGTGCCAACTCTGTCATATATTACATTCTCATACATATTGAGGCCTATTTCTGTAATCTCCCATGTTCCACTGATCTTTTCTTATTCCAAACAATACGATTTTAATTAGAGACTTGTTTCTTAAGGCTTTTTCTCATAGCCATAATCCATTCTCTGAGCTGTAGCCTAAGGCATCCTGAATCAGTGGGATCCTAGAAGGTGACAGTGGATTACTATAATCTCAACTAACTGAGCACCAATTGCAGCTGCTGTTCCCAATGTGGTATCCTTGCTAAAACACATTAAAAGGTATGCATTTATATGGATACCTTTTCTTCTCTACCCTATCGGAAAGAAGTACCAAAAAAAGTTCCCGTTAACACTGGACAAATAAGAGTGTGTATTTTGAATACTGCCCCAGGGCAATAACTTTCATACCCTCTGATATAATATTGTGTGAAAGGACATGAACTTTCCAGACATGTCTCAAAACAAAACAGTAGCCCACCATGTCAATGATATCATGTTAATCGGACCTAAGGAGCAAGAAACGACAAGCAGATTGAAGACCTTGATAAGATACATGCCCTTCAAAAGGTAGAAATAAACGCTATGAAGATTCGGGGACCTGTCACATTAATGAAATATCTGGGGGATGCTGGGATACCCCCTCAAAAATAAATCTGACATCTGGCATCTCTCACCTCTAAGAAGAAAAGACCATGCCAGGTAGATCCCTTTGGGTTCTGGAGGAAGCATATGCCACACTTTGGAATACTACTCCAATCTATTTACAATCGACAAGGAAGGCTGTCGACTATGAGTCTAGATTTTGGACTCTCGAGGTAGATCTCTTCGCCAGTTGAACTACTAGATGTGGGGATTGTGGGAGAAGGAAAAACATCTATGCTCCAGTAGAGCCCCTTCAAGGTAAATACTTGTTAAGTTACTTAAGCTGTCTGGTTAGTTTTCTTAATAGTGAAATGAAAATCTTTAGACTTTTCACAAGTTCACTCACATCTTCTCGGTTCTCAACAACTGTGCCCACGGTGATGATGATGACAATGACAATAATGATGGTGAAGATGATAACTTTCTGCAAGTCTCAGCAGCAAAATCTTGTTTCTCTTATTACTTCCTTGTGGCAGGTAGAATTCTAAGATAGTCCCCGAGATCCCTCCCCTGGGGATACGAGCCCTGTATAATCCCTTCCCCTTGAGTGTGGGTGTGGCCTGTGAATGCGATGAGTTCATGGCTCTCATGGTTAGATTCCTCACAGCATACTGCAGGAGCCTCTCCTGCTGGTCTTGAAGAAACAAACTACCATGTTGTAGAAAAGGCCATGTGTCAGGGAATTGGGAGTTGGCCTTTAGGAGCTAATGACCTCCTACTGGACAGCCTCAAGGAAATGAATTCTCTCAACTACAGGTAAACTTGGAAAAGGACCTTGAGCCTCACATGAAATCACAGCCCTGGCCAACACCTTGATTTCAACCTGATAAGACCCTAAACAGAAGACCCAGCTAACCCATATCCTCCTGACCCATAGAAACTATGAGATAGTAAATGGGTGTCCTTTTAAGCCACAAAGTTTATGGTGATTTGTTAAGAAGCATGTACAACTGATATAACCCCTTCAGCCAGGTCTCACCTACCCTTTTTCCATAAGTCCTAATTCCTCTATCACCAAGACATCAAGTATTTTCTTCTTGCATCATCTGCTCATTTGACCAGATGATTGATTTAACAGTATGTTTTAAATAAATAAAGCATAAATAAATATGCTTTAAATAAATGCTGTTTCGAACATTACAAGAACATAAAAATTGAAATAACTTTAAAAACCTAAAAAGCAAATTGCCAATATTTAAATATAGACAGCATGGGGCTAAATGTTTTCAAAGAAACACATTTAATGCCCTTATTTATGTTTGTCCAGATGTATAAATTATTAAAATATTTGTCAGTTAACTCCTGAAATTTCGCATTACTTGTTCTTGACCTATTGTACTTTATAAGAGATAGATATAAATGCTTTTGCAAAATGAATTGTTGAGTTGCCTTTATAAAAAGACCCTTATTTCGGGGGGTAGGAGAAATATCCTTACCTGTACAACAGGTACCAAAACAATATTGTGATAGATTATAGGAGCAAGGAGGCCATAACATTGAGTCACAGCTTGAAGGGCATAACTGGAATCATTTAGAAAGTTGCTAAGTTCCAATGCCACCAGCACTCTCTCACATTCAACCAGTCTAGCAATCTGTAAAGAAACAGGCATTGTTACTCAAATTGAACATTAGGTGCTTAAATGTCTCTGAGAAGAATAAAAGATAAAAAATATGATCCTTTTGACTTAACAACAATGTGAATGTGTGTTAGAAGAAAATCTAAATTCAGAAACAACTCTAACTCCCCAATATATACACATACTGTTACATACAGATAGCATAATCTTAGAATTAAACTTCAGGATTTTTTTGTAAAACAATGCAAGTACCACAAATAATAAAAGAATCATTTTTACTGTTAAGATAAAGTCTTTGCTATATTTTTATGTTAAAGGAAAACCTAGTTTTCAAAAACAAATTTTAACAAGTATTAATAATAATTAAAATACATTTTATTTTTAATAAATATTAATATTATATGAGATATTATAATATTAATGTTGTAATATTGCCCTCACTTGATTAACAGATTCCCATTTCCCTTTTGGTTTGTGAGAAAATGGTAAATTTTCAGTAAAGCAAACTAATCTACTATACTTCTGCTACTTAACACTTTCGCTATTTAAATGAAAATGATAGTAAAATTTAAAGTTAGGGTTTTAAGATTAAATGCCACTTTGAAAGAATAGGAAAATATTCTTACTCCTTCTTCCTCATTCCTGGGGAAAGATTTTGTTATTTTTCTATATAGACATTCAAGATTATGTACAAAGAAAACTGAGCAGCAACCAGAAGAAATTTCTATACAGCCAGTTTTTGCCAGAACGGTAGTCTAGCATTCTGGAATTCATTGAGGTACCCTAAAATTGTCTTTATTTTCACATCAAATATGCTGAAAGAAGAAACCGAATGCAAAATGTAATAGGAACAGGCTGATGGTTGTGAGTGCTTGGGCTGTATAGGACAGTGAACTTGTCTTGGGCAGAGTAATGTTATTTTCACTTTCATATCCCCAGAAACTGGCACAGTCTCGTGTAATAATTTACTAGTTAACTAATTAATAAATAAATGGATGGGTAGGAAAAAGCAACTTAAAAAAAAAAACAGATGGCTAAATTCTCCATATCTAAGGCAAGTAAAGAAAGAAAGAGAGAAAGAAGAGTGAACCTCAAATAGGAATGAAAAAATAATGTAGGATTATTACCCAAAGCAAGAGGATGATAGGGTTGCAGATGTTTATAAGCAATCTGAGAATCTATCAATAAAAGATAGGTGAAATACCTATCTCTGCACATGAATGCAATATTATAATGGAAAAGGATGTGGCAGATTGATCTATGCCGCCATAAAAATATATCCAAGATATAATATAAAAGTGTTAAAAAGGCAAGCTGCGGAAACACAAGTAGATTGTGATCCCATTTTCATAAATAATAACAGCTTAGTCTATGCATATTTTTTAAAATTAGAGAAACCATATGAAAAGAAAATTGTGATATTCTTAGAGGTAATAGGATGACAATGGGTTTCACTTTACACATTATACATTTTTGAATGTCTGAAATACATACTACTTTTGTACACAGGGGAAAACAGACAAATTGAAAAGAAGAGAAAAAAACAAACATGAACTCAGGCCTGTGAAACCTGTATGCAATATCCAATAAAGAAGCACAGTCATACAATGGCCTTTGCATTCACAAGACAGAATACGCAGTCCCAAAAGAACATGACTTTGAGACATCAAGAAACAAATATGATGAATCTGACATGTTTTTAGTCACTTTAATTCACTTACTTGTTGAGAGGGGAAAATCTCATTGCCTTTAATATTGTCACAGAAAAGATTTTCTTCTTTAATTTTAATGTCACTTGCTACAAAAATATTCCTAAGGAAAAGGTATAAAAGAATTGAAGAAGTCTCTGCCAGAACATCTGAATGTAATCTGCAAAAGGAAATAAATGATGTTACAGGTATAAAAATAAAATGATTTAGCATGTGAACTTGCATTCTTAGATTGATTTGTTCTTAATATCTACACAATGATCCCAAGAAAGCCACAAAAATGTGTGGAATAGCTATTCTTGCGCAGCTGTTTATGGTAAAATTAAAGACCATCCTTAACAAGTTCACAACTAATAAAATCAGTGTGCTGAAATATTCTGTCACAGATACATAAAATTAACTAGTGGCAAAGTTTTCTGGTTCTAATATATACAGTTCTTTTCCATCAATATAAGGAAATCATAGGTTTTCAGAAGTTTGAAAAATAGGCCTAATATTTCAATTAATGAACTTTCTGGAAATGTGGGTCATTTATAGCAAACTCAGCCACGGTTAAAAATAGAGAGTCTTAACTCTTGTATTATTTCTAATCGTCTCTTCTAAATTGCAGTCAACAGTGCCAACCATTGGCAAAGCTGTGGAATCTGTAGTCTTCCTTCTTTGTGTCTGGCATTCCCTCTCTTGCCCTTTGCCTTACATGATGACAAACTCTTCCTTTTAAGCTTCAGGTCCACCTACTCTCCATAACCCCTATCCCTATAGAACAGGAAAGTAATTCACACTTGAAGATGCTCCTTTTCACCACCATGTTCAACTCTGAAATTATCTTTACCAAGACAATTTTAGTTCTCCCACTCCTGCAACTCATACCAAACTTTCTCTTTGCATCATGATGACCTTCAGCACCTTGACACATGCAACTAGTCCAGCCTCTCACCTCCTGGCTCCATTTCCTTCCCCAACCAGCTCAGACTCTGGTCACTCTTTTCAATGGTGATCCTTCTAGCACATTAGATTCTGTCACCTCTTATTTTATGCAATAATCAATTTGTCTGACCTTGCATAGACGTTACTGTCCAACCTTTCTGTCCCTGCCACAATGATCAATCACTTACTTACTTATTTATTTTACTCATTCATTCTTTCTTTCATTCAAACCAGCATTTGCTGAATGTCTACTATGTATAAGATACTGTTCTAGACCCAGGGATATAAAGATGAATCAAACGCAGCCTTAGCCACAGGGAGCTGGGCTTTACTATGAATTCATGTTAGATGACATCAACTGAGTCATTACTGCTCTCAGCAACACTTCCATTTATCCCTAATGTCTTCTTGTTCACATTCCCCACAGGAAATTTTCTAAATCCCCCACTCTCCACCCCATGCACTCTTATAACCTCCTGGCTCTGCCACCATAGGGTCATCATCACCTGCATTTTCTTCTCTCTTCAGTCTCTCCCTCTCTAGTGGCTCCTTTCCCTTCACCCTCTGAAATTCTTTCCTTAAGTCTTCCCCTCAAGTTTCCGCCTGCTTTCTGCTTCTCTTTACCACCAAGCCTTATGAGTGGTCTTTGCTTCTTAGGATTTTTCATTTTCATTTTTTCTTTGGCCAATTATAAAATGGTTTCTGGACTATCATGCCACAAAAGTGGTTCTCTTGAATTCACCAATGGCCTCCTAATTGCCAACTCTAAAAAGCTCTACTTCATTTTTACTCTACTCAGCCTCCCTGTAGCATTTTATTGAGCAACTGCCCTCCTGACTTTGCACCAGCATTTAATATCACTGACCAGTCCCTCTTTGGTGATACCTTTACTTCCCTTGGCAATGCACTTCCCTGGACTTTCAGTTCCTGGACAGCTCCCTTTCAATCTCCTTCCTTGGTTCTATCTCTTGCTTCTGCCCCTTATGTGTAAGCAATGTCCAGGGTTCATTTCCAGCCTTCTATCTTTTCTGCTAAACAGTCATTCCATGCGAAATATCAATATTTCAATGATGACCTCAATGGACAATTTCTAAATCCGCATCTTTAGCCTTAACTCTCTCTTGAGAGTCAGAACGAAATAAATAAACCTACTACCAGCTGATATCCACAAAGGCATCCTGCTGGAAAACCAACTCAAGATATCCTCAATAAAATTAATTATCTTCCTCCAAAAACTTGTTCCACCTCTCATGTATCCTTAGTAAATGTCATAGGCTTTCAAGTCAGTTAACACTAGAAATCCCAGTCACTTTTCACTCCTTTCTCTCTCTTATCCCCACAAGTCAGATAAAGTCCAAGATGTATCTCTCCCTCTTCCAAAATGTCTCTGAAATCTAGCTCGTACCCAGCATCCTTGTACATAGTAAATGCTAAGTCTATATTTGTTTAATTGAATGCAATTATATTTTTAATGTAAATAAACATTATCAATGCTTTGCCTCAACCAATATTTGCATTTCTAAGCTCATTATCTTTGATTGAGGAATGAAGGGGGTCTTGCTCTGTTGCCCAGGCTGGAGTGCAGTGATGCGATCATAGCTCACTGCAGCCTGAAACTCCTGGGCTCAAGTGATCCTCCTGCCTGAGCCTCTCGAGTTGCTGGGATTACAGGCACGAGCCACTGTGCCTGGCTGGTTTTGTCTTCATATGTAAAATCTTTCAGGCATTAACAAGCAGGTATGGAATATTAATAAAACAAAAAGTTGGTTCTTTGAAAAAGTAAACAAAATTGACACGCCCCTGGCTAAACTCATGAAAAACAGAAAAGAAAAAACTCTAATAAGCTCCATCAGGAACAAAAAAGGAGAAGTTACAACCGATGCCGAGGGGATTCAAGATATAATTTATGAATATTACAAAAACCTTTATGCACACAAACTGGAAAATGTGGAGGAAATGGACAAATTTTTAGAAACACACAGCCTCCCTAGGCTCAACCAGGAAGAAATAGAATTCCTGAACAGACCAATATCAAGGACTGAAATTAGAACAGCAATAAAATACATTCCAAAAAAGAAAAGTCCCAGACCAGATGGTTTCACACCCGAATTTTACCACACTTAAAAAGAAGAACTGGTGCCCATCCTGCAGAAATTATTCCACAACATCGAGAAGGATGGACTCCTCCCCAACATGTTTTATGAAGCCAACATAATTCTGATACCAAAACCAGGAAAGGATGCATCAAAAAAAGAAAACTACAGACCAATATCCCTTATGAATATAGATGCAAAAATTCTGAACAAAATTCTAGCTAACCAAATCCAGGTGCTTATTAAGAAAATAATCCGCCATGACCAAGTGGGCTTCATTCCAGAGATGCAGGGATGGTTCAACATATGCAAATCTATAAATGTAATTCACCACATAAACAGAAGCAAAAGCAAAAACCATACGATACTCTCAGTTGACGCAGAAAAGGCATTTGACAAAATTCAACACCCTTTTATGATAAGAACGCTTAACAAAATAGGCATAGGCATAGATGGGGCTTACCTAAAAATGATACAAGCCATTTATGACAAACCCACAGCCAACATCATACTGAATGGGG